GGCACTAAAAGATGACAACAACAATACCACGGAGCTTGTGGTGACTTGAGGGTTTGGGTTTGCCTTACTGTTTACCTGAGGAGGAAGCTTGGTTAAGATGTGTCTCCTTGTTCTTCTCTCTCTCTCTTTCCTATTGTTTATTCTCCCCACTGTTTGGCTGACACAACCATTGTCAGGGACATATTCTTAAACGAATCAGTGACATAATCCAAATTAAAAAAAAAAAACCAAGCCACACCACAAAACTTAATTTGATTTAGAGCACCAACCTCAAAGACTGATGTAGCAGCACAACTGAATGGGCTGAGTATAAATGGTGAGAAGGAAGAAAAAGGAGCAGACAAGTATGAGAGGAACGTCTTTGAAACAGATGCTGTTACAGGGCTTTACTAACTGGCTGCAGTGCCACTGTGATGCTGTGCTGCATTTGCCACTAAAACTCCAGCTGAGAAAGCAAATGTGGAAAGCCACACCATAATCAGGGCTTCAAAATGCTTGTAAAAGCAAAAAACACCACGTCTACCCCTCCGAGCTTGTTTTGCTGAGAGGGCTGAAGCTGGCCTCTGCCCTCTCCAGGGCATTCTTAGCATTTTGTTAGATTTCCAGCAAGGTCCAAGGGTGAGTACCGCAGGCCTTTGCAGAGACAGTGACCCACAGCCACACTTGCAGAGGAACACTTGCCGATACGTTCATTTAACCTTGCCACAGAGATCTTATGCTGAGCTTTGTCTTTAATTCTGTGGCTCTTCTTTCGTCTGCACTTCAAGCCCACAAGCAAGTTCTTTCTTTGTAAGGAACTTATGAATTCAGAAGGGCTTTTTAAACCACTTTTTTTAGGGTATAAAAATAATGGCAAAGAGTGAGGCAGTTTTTATATTATCACTATGGCTATACAGGCCTCTCCTGGCAGATGTCACCAGTACTATATGCAGCAGTTATGTTAATTAGTGTAAAACAATTTGTATGAGTTTATTCAAACTTTCCTCCAGGGTATGCTACCTGCCTGTAAAAAGGGTCTAACTTTTTGCACTTATAAGGTATACACACCGATTCATCAAAACACTTCTGAGCTCTTATTTTTAAGAGAGAAATGCAACCAAATCCTGTTGAAGTAATCAATACTAACGTCGATTCATAACCATGTCCAATTCACACATTTCAGGTTGCTTCTGGCTATCCCACGTCAATGTTTTCCAGTTTGCTGGCTGTAGCTGGCAATTTTCAATTTAAATACAGGAACACACTTTGCAGATGGCTAAATGACAGGCTTACCTAAATCACTCTTCTCTTTCGAGGTCCCTGGACTGTAACTCTATTGTAAAAAAACAAGAAAGAGGAAATGCATGTTACTGCTCAGCGGCTGCGTTCTTACAGGAGCAGTTCTGTTGCAAACAAAACCGGCAGCACCACCTTTTCAAAAATTTGTACGAAGTTTTCTAATATTTAAAATGCTATTCAGAGCTGAAATTACGGTGACCGGGACCACGGCGGGTGAGGTCACCCACAGCCTCCTCCAGCTCCAGCTGACCTGCGGGGGGTGAGAAGCCGGGAAATTTTACC